AATAAAATATATATATATATATATATATATATATATATAAATACAGTCATCTCTGCAATTACGTATGTTTCGTTAACTCAAATTTGCTCCAATGAGATCGATGAACCAGTAAAAGCTGTTTGTGAAATGCAAACTTTTGCATATGCGAGTTTGTTCTTATGCAATTTCATTCCTGGCGCTTTAAACTTTCAAAAGACTGATTTAATCTCTGCGGAGGTACCGGGGTTATTTTTACTACGCAATTTTCTATAGGTTGGCGTCTTACATGAATGCAACTATCACATAACAGCAGAGATGACTGTACACATCAATCACATGAAAGAATCACAGTCAATCGCAGGGACCAACAAATTGCCGATTGTAAGTGTACAAAATATATTTTTCAAATTCCTTTTATTTTATTTACGTTATTTCAGAGCTTTAAATGTAATGCTGTTATATTACTCGTCAATGTTTGGGTGCTGGGAACGCATGTCATTGACTTCCCTTTGATTTACATTATAAAAAAGTTTCAATTTACGCCGATTCCATTTACGCCGGTTCGTCCAGGAACGCATCCCCAGTGTAAATCGAGGGCTACCTGTACGTACAACTGAGGATAAAGTTACTTCCCATTTACTCATTTGAATACATGAATTTCTTCTAAAACTGCATCCCTGATATAAATCAAACACCATTTGTATCAACCGTGACACTCACAATGTTGTCCTGCACAAGTCTGTACCTTGTATCGAGATGCCACAGCATTATCTTGCTGAAGATATGGATCATGACTTCATCTTGAAACTCATCAATGCACAAGATGTTGAAGTGGCGCATAAATCTTGGGGTAACAGTATTTCCACCCTGGCTGATGAGACCCATAGCACACATTAGCTGCAAAAAATAAGAGCCTTTTGTCACCATATTAGGTAACAGGTTTCACCTACTTTGAGGTCAAACCTCTTCAAGGTGTCTGAAATGAATTTACCGAGAGACATATTCATCTACTTATTTATCCATTTATTATTTATTAATGTGAAGAGCCTGTTGAAGTTAAACATGAATTGATTTATTTAATCTTAAATTCTTACCCTAATACTTCCTTTCCTTTAAAAATGAAATATCAGATTTCCATCTTTACACATAAAATAACAGGCCTGTTAAACCTATAAAACTTTGCTAGAGAGCAGTTTGAATGAACTACTGAATAGAGGCTGGTGGCACATAATGAATAATGGGTCTGTATGGTGCACAGAGGCCAGAATTGAAGGAAAACAGAAAGTGACATACAGACTACATAAATATGTATGTACAAGTCTGGCTGGCATCTTTAATAAATTCAGAAAGTAACATCCACAGTTCTGCAAGACCTACATGCTTAGTCCAACCCATGCAGAAACACACAACATGCAAAATTATTTGAGGCTTCCCACCTGAATGTCAATCAGTTTAATAGGGGAGACATCCTTACAGTCATACCAGGTCCTATGGTCCAGCCACTGACGAAGGAGCTCAATGGGAGGCTGGGCCCCATAAACCTCTTTCAGAGGCATGTTCACATCATCCACAAACACCACACACCGCTTGCCAAGTGGTGGCCCATATACTCCTACACAGATCAGTCTTCATATCAGTAAATAGTATTAAATGTAGTTTTCTTCACCAGTGTTGGTCTTCTGGGTAATAACACCATGTGGACTTGTAGGTAAGTACCAGTGTTCTCTAGGAAAGAACTGCCTCCATCTTCAGGGCTGAAGACACATGATCACAGGACGGATGAGCTGCTTGTAGAGCAGCACAGTGTTTCTGACGGACAGACCACTTCTCCTGTTTAGGAAGAGACCTAGCATGCCCAATCGCTGCGCCGCCTTCTTTCCCATCTGACTGACGTACGCTGACCAGGTAAGACAGGTATGAAGGGTGACCCCCAGATACATCGCTGTTTTGACCCAATGTATCGGCTTTCCTTGAAACTGCACTACTTTGTGATTTTGGATGTGTCTCATGGACTTAACGAAGAGAACCGCAGTGCTCTTTGAGACGCTGATAGCAATACTCCAGGTACTGAGCCAGAGCTCCAGTAAACCGAGCTAGGCTTCCAGATAACCGACGAAAAGAGTTGGACTAAGGGATGTGGCTACGTCCACGTACTGTGCTAACTCGACATGGCGGGATGGTGTAGGTATGTCATTGACATGCAGACTGAAGAGTACAGGGAGACGAGTCCAACCTGAACAAATCCGGCCCGCATGGCACAATGTGTGGACATGGCCGACTGGAAGGACGTTTGGAACGTCCGACAAGCAAGGCAGGATGAGATGGTTTTCACCAGGTAGGACAGGAAGTTGAGGACGGTTAGCTTGTAGAGGAGGCCCTTGACCCATACAGTGTCGAAAGCTTTGGCCACATCCAGGAAAACCGCGTCAGTTAGTCGCTTCTCGTCAAGGTTCCTGTTGACCCTTTCAATGAGGCGAACCAGCTGCATCATCGTCCTATGTCCGGGTCGGAACCCAAACTGCTCGTCAAGCAGCAGCCAGCGTTCGTTCACCTCCTGTAGGACCCTAGTTAATAGGATCTTCTCACACAACTTGCCGACCGTGTCAAGAAGACTGATGGGGTCCTTCCCTGGTTTCAGTATGGACACCACATGGGCATGTTTCCATGCCGAGGGGAAGTATTGCCTGCTGAGGACCGCGTTAAACACTTTCGTGAGAAAGGTTATCACGGGTCGTGGAAGATGTCTCAGAACCCTGTTCGGTATACCGTTCGGGCTCGGAGCCTTGCCAACCTTGAGTCTCTTAATGGCCTGAAAGACCTCCGAAGGAGTGGTTAATTTTGGTTCACTTGCGGGCGAACACTCATATGCTCGCATCACGTCTTTAACCATGTCAATAAGAAATGGGTCGAGACGGGTCGTCCACCAGCAGAAACAGGACCTCAAGGTTGTCGGCCAGGGCTTCCGCCTTCTTGGAGTGCGAGAGAGCCAGTCCTCCCGGCACTAGCAAGGGGGGCGATGGAGTGGGGACTCGCATCACCCGCCTAGTCATCTTCCAAAGCGACAGGTCCTCGCCGTCCAAGGATTCCAGCGTGTCGCTGTCCACTGTTCGTTCCTCCACTCGTTGGGCCCATAGGTCACTGACATCTGGAGGTGGATGACTTGAGCTTTCAGAGCGGGGTCCCTCTTGAACTGCCACCGCCTCCTCAACCGGTCCATCAGGCGTATTTCGTCCTGAATACCAACAGGTAAGTCCAATTTGAATAGGCAAGGCTCCCGCCATGACAATTCCAGTTTTTGTTATAAGGCTCTGTTTACCATTTCCAGCAATGTGTTTCATACTCAGGAATGGTGTTACGTAGCAAGGTAAGATTTCTTGCGCAGGATTCCGCCCTTAGTTAGGTTTATGGGTGGTTGGTTGGATTGGCACGTTCATCGCCCTGATGACGGAGGCAGTATGATCTCCGAAACGTTGGTGGAAATCTACTAAGACTACACGGCACAATAACCCAGAAGGCAGCAATATTTAACGATCAACATCCTCACTGCCATGACAACCTCATGTCCTATACAGTTTCATTCAGTTACTACAGGCACAAAACCAATATTCATGACATAATGATACAATGATATTAAATCCTTGTCCAAAATTCAAATAATACAGGAGATGCCTTCAGCACTAGATGCAGGTGAATGATAAGCTTGACATTCTGGCTGTGTTATACCCACAGAAAGTTCCTCCAATACTCAGTGAATTCAAGGCCAGACAGTAAATCCCCAGAGCTGATTTGCAATATGTTGGAGGAGGAGGGGAAAAAATCACAACTCTTCTGGGAATCAAAACACCAATCAGCTCATACCAGTTACTTAATTGACTAGCCTACCTCAAGACCCTAACACTGAACATTTCAATATGCTGCATAAAATAATTTCTTTCTGAGATTTTACAGTTTACACATTTTTATATTACAAAGGCTCTATTAATATTAATTATGATTATGTATGTTTCTCATTTCATGAATTAAGGATGTTTTAACACTATAACTGTGATTAATAAAGGATTTCTGTCTTTCAAATGCATGATACTGGGACAGAAGTTCCAAGTACCCAAATGAAGTAAGCAACAAGTTACCAATCTTGAATGCAAAACTTTCTACAAAGAAAATCCATATATGAGAAGAATAAATAAAAGAACTGACCTCTTCTCCGCCTATCAAGTTTGCTCATGATGATTTCTTGTGTCTGATTGGCTGATGTCTGTGCAGAGAAGTTAATAAACAGTGGCTTGTACATTTCCTTGTTCACTTTATGTAGCAAAATGTCCTGAGAAAACAAACAGAAAGACAGGCTACATTCATGTTCTGATTACTGACGAGTGCAGAGGCATACTTCCTTTTTCAGTTAACAGTTAATAAGCTGGTGAAGAAATTCCTTGCTTTCATCAAACCTGCATGTTGAACACAGTATTCGCTGGTCTTATCACAATTCAATTTTGTAGCATAACTGATCAATTAACTTATTCCAGTAATTAAAGTTATTCTGGGATGCTGATGATGAATTTCAATATTACCCTACCATATTCACAAGAAGATAAGGTAATTCCAAAACCAAATTCACAGAGTGCAATGAAAAGCAAAAGCTATCTTTTTCAACTAAATTCTTAAAGTTTGTGATGATGGTGCATTGTTGAAACAAACTGTTTTCTCAACATTATCCATCGTCCAATACTAAATAAAACCAATAAAACTATGATGTTTCGGAGATGGAAATCTATCCCTGTCTTCAGGTAAAACCTACTCTGTTGGGCCCAATCGATAGAACTAATTCCTATCTCCAGATCTTTTTCAAGTTATTAATAATTATTTGATTTATAAGCACTAATTTTATTCATGGAAAAAATTAATTTGACATGTAAAAGCATCATGTCCTTCAATATTACCATACAAATTTTTCATGCTTTTATAAAACACAAAGGTTCAGAAGAGCCCTATATAGTAACCTATTTGAGCCATTTAAATCTAGTCTAATTAAACAAGGCTGTTGCCTTCATAAACGGTCTGAGACATCCGTCATCAGGGCGATGAATCACCTTGATGACGGAGGCAGTATGACCTCTGAAACATTGGTTAACATCGACCAGACTATACAGCGCAACAACCCAGAAGACAGAAATCTTCATACTCACTGCTGTGAAAACCTCAAATCTTACACAGTACTATGTAGTTTATCGTATGACATTTACCAGCTATAAAGAGGGAGATATATTTTCTCATAACCTAAACAACTTTATGTTTGTATCAACATTCAAACCACTTAATATTACAAAGCAAAGAATTAAAAGCAAATTTTATATATATATATATATATATACATTTATTTATTTATTTATCCATCCATCCAACATGAGATCTATATATGACAATATTAAAATAATCCTAAACAAATTACAGGGATACAAAATTAATTAAACAGTATGAGAACAAGAATCAATTATGGGGTTTTATAGTAATTGTGATGGATCTTTGAGTTCCAGAATATCAGGAAATTGATTAAACAGCTGAATAAACATAAAGTTCCAAAAGAACATTCTGCATCAGCAGTTTAATTATAAAATTAATTAAACCCAAATTGTAACATGAGCACAAACATAGTTTGGCACTGTATCAGTTACAAAGGTTATGTAATACTGAGTAACAAAAGTGGGTACATCAGTGTTATGAATTATATGATGGGCAAAGAAGTTGGATTTGGCATAATTTAAGGTATCTTACTTGTCTAATTTCAACTACTTCCAATATTCTTATGTAGTTTTAAAACACCCTGACACCTATTGTTACTCTGAAATTACAGAATGGTTACTGTAAGTCACACACTTACAGTGATGTAACTGGATTTTCCTGTGCCTGTGGGTCCCACAAACATGACTGGCTTGTTGTGTGTTACAAGCAACATGATTACAGCAATGCTGCAGACTGTCTCCACAGTTTGCACTATGATCTGATTCACAGGAATGTCACGAGGAATTGGAGGCACAGAACTGAGTTCATCTGACCACAGCTTCCATTTCCCTTTTCCCTGAAATAAATAACAAAATAGAAATAGTACTTTAGTCTCAACTACAGCACTCCATGCTACCACAGTTGTTTTAAGTAGAATCTCTTTAATAATCAGCTGCAGAAGGTAATGGTTCAAAATATGCCTGAGTTATCAACCAATCAATTTATTTCTTTAATAATCAATCAAGTATTGCCACATCAACCAGAGACGTTCTGAGTTCATTAACAGCACTACATATGCTGTAAGTTATATCAACTGTAAATGTGATGAATAACAATTTAAAATGTTACCTTATACTTTAGCACAAAGTAATGTGTCTGTATTCAATCCAATTATTCCCTGAACAAGTAATCAAATATTAATATTATCCAGTTATAAAACCTCACACCCAGGACATAAGCATCACCAAATCCTAACTTGAGGTACTTCAATCTACTTCACATACTCATAACCACTTCCCTTTTTACAGTATCCATTTTAATATTGTCGCCCTATTATTATCATGAATATGGTTATAATCTCAGTTCTTAACCAAAAAATTGGCTATCCTTGTTGAAGATGTTGTGGTTTTCCTTAGTCCCTTGAGGAAAATGCTGGAATTATATTTAAAAAAAACATAGTAACTGCTTTCTTCATCATTCATGTTATGCAATAAATGCAGTTGACAAAACTTTTAATAAAAGTGAAAAGCATCGATGAGAAAAATAGGATCTCAGCATGCAATGGGAAATTAGGAAATCCAAAATTCAGGTTGAAGAGTTTCAAAGGTAGAAGCTACTCTGAAGATTTAGGCTCAGATGAAAGGTAATATAAACTCATATCTCAATATACGTGAATTCAACATTTGTAGTCAAGCTCTCAACAACATATAGCTTCTTAGTATTTAACTCATATGACCTTCTTTCAGTCTGCCTTAGTCCATGCCTTCCTATTATATCAACATTGTCTCACTAAATCTTTTCATTTCAATTTTCCATAGACCCATGACTCCCAAAAGTAAGATATGCAACATTAACAAAAGTGGAAATGTAAGAGCTGTAACCAGATAATTCATTAAACGGCCACACACATAAGCTTATCACAGTCAATGACCTTATTTGCAAATTTTACTATTACAATAATCTCAGGATTGTATCCCTTGTATGCAGGTATTGTGAACAGAGAAACATAACTAAACTGACCCAGAACATATAATATGATGGTTTGCTTTTGTGTTCAGAGTAATGAACCTTCATGTTATAAAATAGGAATTTTCTTGATCAGATGAATAATTATCACGTGCTCAAAAAAGATTCTGTAACAGTGGATTGAGCCAAGTTTCTAGATGATCAGTCATCAGATCTCAGACCTCTTTAATGAAGTGGTAGTCATACACCAGTCCATGAGCTGGGATGAGGAATATGTATGGTTTGAGGGGCGGTTTCACAGTCATTGGCAGCCCAAACTCTTCCTTCAGAGCTGCTGGAAATTCCTTCTCCAGCAATCCTCGAAACAGAATGTTGAACCTTGCACGACCTTGGGTGTCCAGTGTACCTCCCAGTGACCATATACATGAGAAGAAGAACACACCCTAAGTGCAGACAGGTAACACATCTTGCAATAAAGTTCTACTAATGTTCATATACTAACTATTTATAGCCTTTCAATAATATAGGTATTAGAAATATTCAGATAACGGTTTATTGAAACATACATATGTATTAACTTTAGGGAGATGGCACTGTGTTGAAGTGAACTGGTTTGTCAGCAAAATTAATAATCTCTTATCTTTTGCATCAAGTGATAAACAGCCAAGCTAAAACTGCTCATTTATGTTGTTTCTCGGCACTAGAGAAACAAAAAGAACAGCAGTCCTTTGAATGCTCATTTATAAAACTAGAAAATGGTGTTTTGGAAAAATCTTGTGGTTTGACTGGGGAATCCAGAAGTATGCGTATACCAATGTGAACAAAGAACTGTCATGGGCTTTTCAAACAGCAGCTATATTTGTCCTTAAAATGGGATTTGTTAGAGATGTAGCCACAACTAAGAACATGACAGCTGTTCAAGCCTGCCACATGCCATAGGGCCAGTAATATATGAATACATAGAATACAATGAAGATAATATGCATGAAAAACTAAAGTACTTAAGGATAAACCTGCACCATTGCCATTATGAAATACCACAAATTAAACATGGACTAACATGGTAATAAACCCAGGTCTCCATGGTGAAAAGACACTGCAAAGTGCTGTGAGATAAAATGGGTGCTTTGCTTACCTCCAACTGGGCTCTTTGATCCAAGTCTGAGATTCCTTGCATGTACTTCTCATCATAGAAGTCATCCATGAAAGTGTCAAATAAATTCATCATTGAATGCATTAAACTTGAGTCAGAGGATGATGTAAGCTCCTGCAAGATGAAAAACCTCTGATTGTTTTAGGCATCTGAAGTTTGGAGCAATATTAATCTATACTGTGTAGGAATAGGTGATTTAAATCGCCATACAACAGGGCTCCCAACCATACTTTAACTCCAAGGCTTAATGGTCTAACAATATGCTACTACAACATACTGCCCGCTTGACCATGTGTACACTGTGATACACAGCCGATAAAAATTAAATCTATTACCGGTTACACAAGAACTGTATCACACAAGAATGAGAACAAGAACACAAATGCTTCTATGTCCAAGATAAGAAGCAAAAGTATTCAACATTAAACATTCTGTGTCAATAGAGTGCGAACCGGATGTAGTACGAGCTTCTGCTGCTAGGGGGTGCGGCCTACATTCATAGTGAATCAGTGTGCCAGCCGGCATCATCGAATTAGCATTTGTTTCTTAGTTACGGGCGTTTTGGTAGTGCATTACACCGACCCTCCTGCGCTTTCGGAATGGCGTGTGCATCAAATTTTGCCAAAGACTCGCCAAAACGGCTACGGAAACCTATGAAATGCTAAAGCAAGCATTTGGGGAGTCCGCAATGGGTCGTGCACAAACTTTTGTGTGGCATTTACGTTTTAAAAATGGCCGAACCTCTGTCGATGATGACGAGCGTTCTGGACGACCATCTTCGAGCACAACGCCCGAAAATGTTACGAAGATTCGGCAGGCCATTCACGAAGCTCGACGTCGTACCATCAACGACTTGTGCGGCATTGTTGGGATAGGCTATGGGACCTGTCAGCTGATTCTAAAGGAAGAACTCCACATGCGACGCATCATGACAACGCGCCAGCGCACACCGCCCTCAAAGTTCGGCAGTTTTTGGCCTCAAACACTATGGCCGTCATCCCGCACCCTCCTTATTCGTCGGATTTAGCTCCGTGTGACTTCTTCCTCTTCCCAATGATGAACATTCAGCTAAAGGGAAGGAGATTTGAGGCGATAGAAGAGATTCAGGCAGAATCGCAGATGGTGCTTGACAGGCTGGCAAAGAAAGATTTCCAGGGATGCTTCCAGGCTTGGCAGCGGCGCTGGGATCGTTGTGTTCACTCCCAGGGGAACTACTTCGAGGGTGATGGATGAATTTAATACCTGAGATAAGTGTACGGGTTTTTATAGGTGCAGTCTTGAAACTTTCCGATCGCACCTCGTATTCCACCTCTTAATATAAAAATAAATCACATGAAACTAAAAACCAGCCTCTAACAATCAATCAGATCAGATCATGTCAGGTGTTGCAAAACTTGCCACATCAGCTTCATCAGTTCAGTAGCAAAGAAAAGCTTAAATTTTACTCTATTCAATTTCAGACATATCAATGTCTGAAAAATTGTGGTTATTTATATCTTCAAAGAAAGGATATGAAAAGTCTCTATCAGAACATGGACATGCAGAAGTAATTCCAAACATTTTGTCCAAATTTGAAACTTTACACTTAGAAGTTTATAGTGCACTAAAGAAAAAATGAAAACAAAAAACAACATTAACTGATACTCACTCTCACACCTCCTTTCCTAATAAGATGAAGGAGGGGATAACCGAAGCGAAGAAACATGTCATGCAACTTTACTTTATTCTGATCATTCAGATTAGGTGGCAAAGTACTGAGCCATGACTCCAACAATGGCTCCCATCCAAGGGTTTCTGGCTCCATGTAAATAATGCCACAGCGAGACACCTGTAACAACATCACAATTTACCAACTGACAAAACATAGGGGAAGATCAAACATGAAGATGGCTGTCTTCTTGGTTGCAAGGCCATGCAGTCTGGTAGTCTGTAATCTGGTCATGGTCTGATGATGAGGGCAGCAAGCACCTCTGAAATCATGGCAAACTTCTACCAAACTACAGTGCTACAACCCAGAATACAGCTATCTTCATACTAGTCAACAATGAGAACATAAAATCTCACAAGATTAAATACCATTAACATGAAAGCCTGCCACTGGATACTAAACTGCACAAAGTCAATTTAGTTCACACCTTCACAACACAGTTCTGCAAAATGCTTGCTACCATTTTATTCAGAATCTGTTGTACTCCTATGTCCTATCTAAAAACATAAAGACTAATATACGTATACATGAGTGCAAAACTTGGCTAGTCAATGTGAAGGAAGAACATAAATTGATAATGTTTAGGAACAATGCATTGACAAGAATATCTGGACCAAGATTCATGAAGTAACAGGAAAATTACATTAGGGGCTTTCAAATTTGTGCTCCTAACCTAATACTATTACAAACATTGAATCAAGAAGGATGAGAGGAATGGAGGATGTAGCATGGTTGAAAGAAATGATAAAATCTTACAAAATTTCAGTCAGAAAACTTCAAGGAAAATGATCACTTGTGAGACCTAGAAATATATGAGAGGATAATGTTAAAATGTATCTTACAGAAGCAGAGTGGGATATTGGGTATTAGATTTATCCAGCTCAGGATAAGGTTCAGTGCCAGGTTCTTGTGAACATGCTACTAAACCTGAAACGGTCAGAAATTTCTTACACAGATGAGCCACTACTGGCTTCTCAACAAGGATTGTGCTTTATGAAATTAATCTGTATTGATGTTGAATTAGATTATGTGTTAATAGTGAGCAACAGCTAAAATCAAATAAGAGGTAGAAATGTGAAACTTACTGTTGCAGGGGAGGCCACATCAAGGTCCATAGCTTCAAATAAAAGGTTGGTGGTGGGAGCAAGCTGAATGACCTCCCCTGACACAAGGCACAGTTTTCTGTTGTCATCTAGCACAGTGTTCATATTCTCAATCCACACTGAATCCACTGACCCATCAAATACCAACCACTTCCTACAGACAAACAGCATAAGTTACACTTATCAGCAGACCATACATATTGTCTCTAGTATCCTTAACTAACTGTCTGATATTACAGATCCTGAAGGTCATCACCATTCTCAAGAAAGCAAACTAACAGATTACATTCTTAACAAATCCATTCCAGTTTACGTCTTCACTGTCTACCTAATTAAAATATATGTTAATATTGTAAGATTTGAGGTTTTCACAGCGGTGAGTATGAAGATTTCAGGGCGATGAATATGATATTCATATTCATCACCCTGATGAGGCAGTATGACCTCTGAAATGTTGGTTAGCACTGACCAGACTACACAGTGCAACAACCCAGAAGTCAGAAATCTTTATTATGCCTTAATCTTCAAAGTGGAATATGTTAATATTTTCACTGCCAGCATTCTCTATGCATTTCTTTTCCTACAGTGTATGCTAAAGTGATGACCCATCTCAACTTTTTTAAATTAATGGGAGTCATGAAGGTCTTCATTACATTATTCTCTCCACCTCTGTCTTTCTTTGACCTAAATGTTCTCTTCATCACTTCAGTTTTAATTTTCTATTTCTATTCTTCCCTCAAAGCAAAAGAGAAAGTTCTGACCCCATACAAAACAAAAATAAAATAACAGTTTTACATATCTTAATCCTTACTTGTTTGACAAAAGAGAGAAAAGAAACTCTTAAGCTTGATAATGGCATGCATTTCTCAAGTTTGGCATCTTCTCACAACAAAGACATTAACTGTGGTCATCTAGGTTGTGATGTTATGTAATCCTCAACCCTGAAGATGCAGGCAATTCCTCCTCTGAAACCTAAGTACCCACCTACAAGACTATGTGGTATTACAATCTAGAAGACCACAACTGACTTATTCCTTTTTAACCCACTACAGAAATACCAGGTATTTGACAGTACATTACAGCATACTAACATGTAAAAGTAATTATCACTAGGTTACAAAATAAAAATACCTGTTTAGATTGGTTGATAACGCAAATGCACGGTAGCTAGCAGAAAGGATCCCATCAGACCAATCACGTGACACAGGGTCAAACTGCCCATACAGCTGTCCCAATGTGATGGACTTGGGATTAATCACAGTGACCTCAACTTTGTGTTCATCCATTAAGGCCTAAAACAACAAATATTTATCAATACACTGATAAACAAATGTTGCCCAATTTCTTCAAAAATACCATGACTTCTGTCATAATTACTTGTCTGACAACAGAATCAGTGTATTATGGATGTTCTATATACATACATACACAAAAGTTTCTTACAAAATACATATTTATCTTACAACTTATCTGTCTGTCATGTCATTAATATCCTAAACTGTTAATCACATTGTTATTCAAATTTAAAACAGATATGCCAATACAAATATATTCAAGATGTATGGAATTTATTGCACAAAAGTCAGTTAGAGCTAACACATCACTGATATCTAAATAAACTTGTTAAATAGGACTTTTATTGAAAATTGATTCAAACTGAAGCTGCAGATCTTAATTACATACATATTTTACTCAAAACATCATTCATTTTGACAATTATTTATTAATTTTTGTTTAAAAAAATATGTTCACATGTTAAAAAAATCATTGATAAAATTTGGTGTTACATTACATTAAAATTTTCACATATTTATTAAATGTGACAGAACTGCTTTAAGCTCAGGCAGATGACCACAGAATATGACTTTCACCGACTGAGTGCAGACAAAAGGTGTTCAACACTTTTGTTTGTAAATCTGCATATCAACCATACATATTGTACACACATAACTAAAAATACACAAAAATGTTATGTAATGAATAAAAACCCCATCCTTGATGTATATGTAACAGTTCTAAGTTAAGTATGAGTGGAGTCAATAACTTTAAACTTTAAATACCTTTCCTTCCAGTTCAGCCAAGCCATCTGCCAGCATGCGGTATGCAGTTGTCTTGCCTGCAAATGGAAATCCCACAATTATGAGGCCATGCCTCACAATCATCATTTCATAGATCTGCTGTATCTTCTCTAAGAAAGGTGGTATACACTGTATGTTGGCAATTTTGCAGGCATTCTTTACTGCTGTGTTGAAGATTGTATAGTCTTTCACTGGCAGAATGACCCTAGGAAATAAATCTGATGCAATGCCCTGAAATGTCAATACAACAATGTTATCAGAATACTGAACCTATGCATTCAGTAATGTTTACATAGACATACTGATGCAGCACATTCCTTTTTCCAATTTAGGAAGATAATCATGGTCTGACCCTGTTAAATCTAGACACCGAAAACACTGATATAAACTGGAAGATTATAACAGAGGATACCTGAGGTTGTGTAAAT